AAGAGGATGAAGTTGCTCAATCACCAAATCGCCATACGCGGAAAAGGATTTTTCATCCTCGACGGTCTCCTCAGGGTTGATTTCATCCACAGTCTCTTCAATTACAGAAAGGTAGCGGAGATCTTCGGAATCCATGGAAATTCACCCACCCACTTGTCTCGTTTAAATCCGCTGGTCTGGTACAGGTGAGAGCAACTTGGTGAAGGTATCAGAGAGGAGGAATAGAGACGAAAGAGAGGAGGAAAACCCTAGATCTAAGAGGTTTGTGGAAGAGGATGGCGTGAAGGAGTAAATGGCAAAGAAGTAGAGGTAGATAATAGGTGGGTGGCGTAGAGTAAATGGGGATAATGACGATGAATGAGAGGGAGGGGTATAATTGACCTTTACCCTTCAATTCCTTACTAAATTTAGAAATGGGAAGTTTTTTTGTGGACGGATGAAAAATGAAAGTGGGAAATTCTTTTTTGGACGGAGGGAGTATATTGAATGGTTCCTTAAAAATTTGTTCGATTTTATTTGTGTTATGTCTAATTGTTGTTGGTTGTGTTTATCATCGGAGCATGATGGAATGATTGACTTGGTTTTGAAACTGAATTTGACCAGGTGCTTTCATGTTAGAAATCTGCACGGCTAAGGTGTATTAAAGTTTCAGGTAAGTGCAACTTACCCTATATATTTTTTTAAAAATGGCTACTTTGAGTTTGGTTAAATGTGTTACCGTCTTTATTTTTTTTATTTTAGTTCCTTAACATCTTTATTTTTTTTATTTTAGTTCCTTAACATTATTGTCATAGATAAGTCGGTCATTGCAATTTCAGACCTTTAATAGAGGAAGATATGTTTCTTGTAACACCCCAAAACTCAACCTATCAGAATTAATTAATTAATTATAGTTAATTAATTATTGAGACGGACCCAAAGTTTATTTAAAAATATTTGTCAATAAATATTTAAAGTTATATCGTTGTGTAGGGTGTGACGAGACGAATCCATCGGTGTGAACGGATCTGAATTCAGAGCTAGTTGGCCCCAAGCATGTATTTTTCCCGAGGTATGCTAATTAATTACGGAGCACAAATCCCTAGGGTATTTAAACAGCCCCTTACGTGCATACACACGATAGAAACCGCCGCACACACTCACCCTTTCCCGTTTCTGGCTTCCGGTTGCGCAAGCAGGAGAAGAAAAGAAGAAGAAGAAGAGAAGAGGAAGGAGAAAGAGGTCGCCAGTCAACCATCGTCGTCTCGTCGCCGTTCAAGCCTTTCATTCTTGAGTTAGTTTCGTCACTTCGAGGTGGGTACGTGGAACCCTAGCGTTAGAGTAGGCAATTAGGTTTGACATCTACGTTTGTAATCGTTGTGATGATTGAATTGCATGAAAACGTATATGACTTGGTAATTTAGGAATTCTTGGGTTCGATGAGCACTACGGGGTAGAATTCATGTTCTAATGCATATGTTGATGCTATGTGATTATGTGATATTCGTTACGTGTTTATCACCATGTTTAAACGTTGAACTAGAGAATCGGTGTTGAATATTGAGTGGAAAACAGGTTGGTGCAGTAACTGGTATCTGTCGCGGCGGACGGTAGGTCGGTATCGCAGGGACAATACCCAGGTACCATCACCCCCCTCGTTTCCACCTCCCTCTGGCAGTACCTGTCACCAACCGGTACCTCGGTACCGGGCGGACGGTAGGCCATACCGCCCAGTCAGTAGCGGCTACCGTGACAGGTATACCGTTTGAAGGAAACAGGCACTCCGGTCGGTACCCACGTACCGTGGGACGGTACCTTGGTACCGTGGGGGCGGTACTCCCTACCGCTAAGGGTACCGTGAGGTACCTAAACCGGACAACATACCATGTTTTGCCGAGGACGGACTTCGAGGCTTGTGTGTATTGCATGACGAGAAGTCAGGGGTGTCAACACCCGAGACCAACCGCTAAATGCTATATTTTCATTACAAGGTGTTGATCCAACACATGTGTGATTATGTGAAATATATATGTTTGTATTTAATATTGCATGTATGAATGGGCTGATCCAGCACACAGCAAACAGGCACTGCATGTTGATCCAACGCGTTTGGTAAGGTAAGTTTACCTAGAGGAAATCCTTGGGACTGACATAA